GCTCCCGCCAGGCCCGCAGCACGCGCATAGACTGGAGGAAGAGACGCCGCAGTTGAGGCGCGCTCCATGTGCCCGCCCAGTCCGTCTGGGGGGCGACGGCGAGTGGGTGGTTCAGCCCCCATTGGGACTCGACCTGCGCTAGGGCACGCAGCCATGGGAGGCGCTCCGCACCGACCGTCCTGAAAGCCCTGCATGCCTGAGTCGCGTGAGCTTCCGCGACACTGCTTATCGCCGGCCCACGGCTCACCGCGAAGAAGCTGGGCAGGACGCACACGTCGGCCCAGTGTGCGATCTCGGCGATGACATCGTAGGGCAGAGCGTTGGCTGGTGTCTTCACGCGCGCGCAGTCGGACGGGTTCGGGTCTGGCTCTGCAATCTCATCGTGCATGAGCTGGGTGGGGTGTGGTAGGATGCTGACAGCCTTCATCACGTAACTCGTGCGAGCGCAACGTGATTTGATAGAGCGCATCAAAAGGCAAGCAGGATTCTTCACCGATTGATTCAAGTTTAGTACGAAAGATCAGGGCCCGGGTATCATCATCCTTCATGTGTGATTCATCACGAAGATTGTCAAGAGTCCACTTTATCAGGACAGTATACACGCTGCATCACAGTCAACATACTTATGGATTGTCCTTCTGTGCTGCTAAGTAGCTGTGCGCAGGAGGCAGTGCTGGGAGTGCCGGATGTGAATGGTCCCGCTGAGCCAAAATAGAATCACATAGTCCCCACTTGTGAGTCACTTTGAGTAGTCCTGATGAGGAAAAGGTCTGTAAGGGGAAAGAAAGCATTCGGTATGTTCTGAGCTTCAATTAAGAAAGTCCTCAGAGATTTCACAGAGCTTCAAGAGTGTGCCCCTCAAATTAGTGCCATCTGAACGTCCAGGATACTGGTCCCTGTTTAGTGCAAAATGAGAGGCTTTTAGATGAAGACTATGAATGAAGCGAACAATCAACGTGCGACGGCATCATTGATCCTATCAGATATGCAGGCTTGTGGCTCAATTCCCTAGTTGACGACTGCGGCCCTCGCTCCATTCGCGATTCGACACCTGTACCGTTCCTCCAATTGACATTCTGAGCTCCTTATTCATCAAGTGCTTTAATATGCAGAGCACTCGAGGTCTTGGGCCATCACCCGGGGCATTTCCGAGACCGAGTTGGGCCACTTACAAATGCCTTTGTGTCAACGGGCCGTCTGATGCGTGGACCCGCGCTCATAATGTGGCGATGGCACCACAACATGCTTTTGCGTCTCAAGCTGCGGGCCTGCCGAAGGCATGATCGGATATGCTCCCGGCCACCCATCGCCCGCATCACTGCTCGAGCGGGGCAGACGCCTGCTGCGGCAAGAAAACCCGCTCGCTGGTTAGATGTGCGTTCCCGGATACGGCTCGTTGACATGGAGCTTCGAAATTTCAAGTACTGACTGCGAGGTGTCACCGGCACCGTATAAGAAGTATGCCTGTGGAGGGCACAGTCATTCTTTCACTTTCTATTCCTCTCACTGTCTACTTCTTACTTACAAACTTTCTCTCCACTGATTTACCATGAGCAACTTCGATCCATCCACAGTGGCGGTCTATGGTCTTGTCGCTGTTCTCCCGGTTGCGGGTGTCTGGTTGGTGAAGACGCTTAATCAGAAGGTGTGTCAGTCAATAATCTCCACCTTCTTCCTTTCGCTAATTCATTATGCTCCTCAGGACCCCGTGCCCGCTGTGATCGGCTCCGGGGGCTGGGTCGATTCGCTGAAGGCTGCGCGATACTTCGAGGAGCAGCCGATGGAGGTCGTCCAGAAGGGCTACGACGAGTACAAGGACGGCGTCTTCCGCATCCCGCGTCGCTGGCGCTGGGATTACGTTGTGACCGGTCCCCAGCGCATCAAGGAAGTCAGCGGGGCTCCCTCGGAGGTTCTTTCTTTCAATGACGGATCAGGGGAGGTGCGTCTTCGGTGGTCTGTTTTCATGCGACATTGTGCCGAGCCTGCCGCAGACGATCCAAGCCAAATACACCATGGGAGCCGACCTCTTGAACAACGCGTACCATGCCCTAGCCGTTCGGACGAGTCTGACGCGCAACTTGGGAAAGGTTTTCCCGGAGGTGCGGGACGAGATCGAGTGTGCAATTGATGAAGTGTTTGCGTTGCAAGACGACGGTCGGTTCGGTTCCTAATTACCTGTTGCGTAATCTGACGACAAGGCAGAATGGAAACTGGTCCCGGTCATGTCCTCCCTGATGAAGGTGGTTGCTCGAACCAGCAATCGTCTGTTTGTGGGATTGCCCCTGTGTAAGAGACTGTTCTAAAATGGCCGACGCTTTGACTTGAACGATACACACAGGCCGCAACGATAATTATCTTGACTTGAACGTGATCAACACAATCGAGACCGTGACTCGAGGCCAGAAACTGAGCGCCTGGCCCGAATTTCTTAAGCCGTAAGCTTGAGTCCAGTTCCTTCGCGCCTCCCTATTCAATGTTTTGTCAGGCTTGCCGCGCCTTTCATTGTCACCAGGATGAAACGTTTGCGGGAGATGTTGGCATTCGTCGGCCCAATGATCGAGGAGCGCATTGCCAAGGAAGACGAACTTGGTCCCAACTATGAGGGCAAACCCGTAAGCTCCTGCGTCCCATTGAGTTTCTGTGATCTGACTCTGAACAGAATGACTTGATCTCCTGGCTCCTGGAACTTGCCGGCCCTGACGGAAGACACCCTGAGCCTATTGCCGCTCGTATTCTATCCCTCAATATGGCTGCGATTCACACGACGTCGATGGTGTGTATGACCGTTGTTGTTCTATCCTCATGACTCATGCCGTATTCGGATTTAGGCGCTGGCACATGCTCTGTTCGATGTAACTTCGCGCGAGGGCTATCTCGAGCCGATGCGTGAAGAGGCGGAGAACGTCATCAGGGCGGAAGGGTGGACCAAGTCGGCTCTCAACAGCATGCACAAGATGGACAGCTTCATCAGAGAGACCCAGCGCATGCAGGGCAACGGACCCGGTATTTACTCTCCTGCTAGCAAGGGTCATTCGGCGTTCTGACCCAATACAGTGACCATGGCTCGCAAAGTCATTCATCCCGATGGTTTCACTTTCTCCGACGGTGTCAAAGTCCCTTACGGCTCATTCGTGTATGTATCTGGCAAACCCGTTCACTACGATCCGAGTGAGTTTCGCACCGCTCTGCTTTTTCGAAATTGCCGCTGACTGCGATCGCAGAAATTCACGAGGATCCCGAAGTGTTCAAAGGGTTCCGCTACTCCGATCTTCGGGAAGCCAAGGCCGACAACCACACCGTCGAGGCAGGCATATTCAACAGCCACATGGTCTCGACCAGCATGGAACATCTGTCTTTCGGCCACGGAAAGCACTCGTGCCCCGGCCGGTTCTTCGCTGCTACCGAGATCAAGGCCATGTTGGCCCACATCCTCATCAACTACGACATCAAAGCCGCAGTGCCTGGTGTCCGCCCTCCCAATGACGAGCATGGAATGATGTCGTCGCCGAATGGCACGGCCGGGATCCTCATCCGCAAACGTCAGCTGTAATCTCCATCCCTCGTGTCTGTGCATAATAGCCTAGTGACCATATACTCTCCTTTACATCGACTGCTCATCTTAGACACTTCTTCCATAGTTCATTGAAATGTTCTCGCATTCCTATCTCACCCGTTTTCTCTGAGAGACTTCGTGCGCCGCGGAGATCCCGGCATTCATTCGACGCATTTGCGGTCTCAGTGACATGGGTGTTGTCCAGAGATTTTGGTGCTAGCCTTATCAGGGGTGATCAGAGGGTCTTCATTGTCCCGGACATTCCCCTGGTAAAATTTTCTTGCACAATAGAATGATCGAAAAATATCACTGTAAGAGGCTATACACGCAAAAATGAGCCTTGAGCAACATGTAAAATACGGGCCTACAGAATTCGCCGCGGGACCCCCGCAGATCTGGCCCAGCGGGACCCCTGAAAAATCCAAGTCCCGCTCTCAACGACGGCGGCAGTGTTTGACGTTCTGTAAACAGTAGCATGGAGTCCGATGTAGTAGATAGTGATCCCAATTCGTTGCATCAGTCGTAGTCTTGACATCGTTGAGAACGACGAGGTCAAAGAGTCGGGTCCCGCGGGAATCTACTTAAAGCGGGACTAAACCCAGCGGGACTCCAGCGGGACTGGAAAATGACCCCGCGGGACTCCAGCGGGAGTGCCTAACCGGTGTGCGGGACTCCAGCGGAGGTCGAGCAGGTCCCGCGGGACTCCAGCGATGGTCCCACTTGACCCCGCGGGACTCCAGCAGTCGTCTCAAATGCCCCGCGGGACTTGAGCGGAGGTCCAGCGGGCGTGCACACCGCGGAATCCTCTGCTCACCAACACAATCCGCCAGTGCTGCTCTAGAACGTCACCGCCGCACACCGCCGTCCCCATTGTCGTCTTACATCAACGTTACAGCCACCTCATCATCATCGTCCGCACAGCACATCAACTGCACAGCTACCTCATCATCATCGTGCTTGTCGCACCGCACATCAAACATCACAGCCACATCACGATCCTGCTCATCGTTTGCAACAACGACGACGAACATGTTGAAAAATAAGAATTCGATATTATTAGTTATCCCGACAGCTATTAACTAATGAAACTCGTCTATGAATGATTTAAGTCTTGGAGACCGCTTCTTGAATGGGAAAATTCATTCTAAGTAAACCTCAAGTTCTCAACCTATGTGCATTCACAACAACCGGAATTGACCACGGGACGCCGCTGGGCCAACCCAGCGGAGGCCCAGCGGACCCCACTTTCCGTCATTGTCGTCGACAATGAGGACAAGGCTTAAACTTTACGCATACTATTTTATTCTATGAGGGGGTAGCTCTTATATTACTTGCCACTTGGTACTGACCGTTCTGAAGTCCAATGCTTGTGTAATGAGATATTTTCATTTTAGGTCAACTATGCAAGTAGGTTATGGTTTGATCACGCGTCTTGTCCCAAACCGCCATGATCTCTGATACGGCGGCGATCTTCCTTGCAGTTGCGCTCCTTCTATCGAACGTAGAGCGAATTTTCCATCTATTCCATTGTATCTGGGTCTCTGTGGCACGACTTTGCGGTTCTGGTCGGCCGAGTCGACGAGCCGTGCCGTATTGGAGTCGACAAGGTGAGTACCGCCCAGATGAGAATAAGTGAAACCATTTAACACATTACCTCAACAGGCGAGTTCCTCGGAATGGTATTGCCCCCTGATCAGAATCCACGTTCTACCAACAATGCGGTTGAACTAGTTGGACGTGGGTTGCCAGCCTTATTGACGTCATATTAATCTCTTATTTGCCTCTACACAGAATCCATTGCCCCGCCGCAGACTCTACGGGATTGTCCGAGCAAATCTGCAACAGAATTGCGTGCTCAACTCCCGTTACCACCGTCCCGAATGGTCCGGGTCTGGGATGGTTGGCCTGACGGGGCTTTCTCCACGCATCTGACAAGTGCAGATATGAAATTAACATCTTCCGCCTCGATAAACTGGTCTTGTGACAGTTTGCGCATCGATACAGGGAAAACTCGGGCGCGGACTTGGCAGCAAGGGAGGGAAACACGAAAGATTTGTCGCGGTGTTTTCAAATGTGAGTCATCACAGTGTCCGTTTGAGATGCTCGCGGCCGCGGATCGGTCGTTCTCTGTCGGTCAAGCTCTCGGACGATATATTTGCTTATGCGGAGCGCGACTTTGATATGTCACCTGCGGGATCACCTCCTCAATACATCGGTATGCCGGGGGTGCACTCTTTGTGAATCATGGCAGTCACACCCACACCAATTACACGCATGTGCTCAAGATTTCGAGTAACGGCACGTTCAAGCTGCCAGTCTTTGTGCCACGAAGGGAATCTGTCATTTTACAGAGTTTGCCAGCTCAAGACTCGGTGAACAGCTTCTTCGCCTCACTGGCCTGACTGTCTGACCACAGTGCAGACAACATCGGATATGGGCACCCCAGGGCCAACAACAGAGCCCGAGGAACGACCCAAGTACACCACAAGATCAGAGCGCAGCCCCAATGGTTTTGAATCAACAAATTTCGGTGAGTATTACAATTTCTGAGCTATCTCACTATGTAAATCACTCCTTTAGGTGATCGTGAACGAGAGTGGTCAGACGAGGAGCGCCGTGAGATAGAGATCGATCCGGAAGCCGACCAGGATGAAGATTAGATTAGCCGGAATTTGAAATAATGTAACTAGCGTGCCTTGCATGACGACATCAGTGAATTTGAAATTTTTCCAGACTCGCCATTCCATCTTCGACGGAAGTCTTCGTCCTGCAACTGTTGAACGCGCATCTTCAGTTCTGTGGCCGTCAACCCTGACAATGCCGCTGCAGAGTCCTATTGTCAATGGCGAGGAGAAGAGACAACCGAAAAAACGTGTCAAATTAGACGTTGAGGAAGCATTCAGGCCACGGAGACCGAGCCAGAAGGTTTTAAACATGAATTAATAGTCATCAATACACGTTGGTTTAGTATGATAAATGTCAAGTGATGATCTATATACGACGGCAATGGTGTGTGACATATCTAGTGTAGTCCTAGTTCGACCGGCAAGAGTCTTAGCCGGACCTGCGGTGGTCCCGCGGCAGTCTCATCAGGACCGGCGGGAGTCCCAGCGGGACATGCGGTGGTCCCGCGGTGGTGCAAGTTTTGCCCTGCGGGACTCCAGCGGGACTCCAGCGGGTCCCAGCGGGTCCCGCGGCTAATTCATGTAGCCCGTAAAATACCCCTATGCTTTCAGTGGTTGCATTTGAACAACAGTTTGCCGTCAATCAATCAACATAAATGTCAGCGACACTGAACTGCTACTAATGTACAGTCACGGCCGTTTTAAAAGGCCCAACCCATATCGGGAAGGAACCGATCGATGCAAGATCCGACACCGGAAGGGAGCCATCAGTAGATCAAAACTGTATGATTTACAAGACACTTCGATACATTGGACTTTGTAGGCACTACAAGAAGAGAATATACATTATACAAGATAGGGATGCATTATTACGAGTTAGTAGTTGATCCAATAGAAGTTGTTTTCTTTCAGTTGCTCGAGCCGGCAAGGAAAAGACTTGTACAAGTGAATGACATACTGGCAGAAAGTCTCCGAGTTCCACACCTGCTTTGCAACCTCAAAAAGCTCTGCTGGTGTCCGAATTTCATTGTAACGTGGGTGGGATCGGACCCGATGCTTCAGCTCGGCCCAGCCGTTCTCGATGGTCGACATGTCAGGAGATTTGGCGGGCCATGGGAAGACATTGATGTTGTTGTCCTTGAGCCACTGCTTTGCCAGCTTCGACGTGTGTTTCAGGTCATTATCCTGCTGGAAGTAGAGGAAAGAGTGTGGGCAGGACTTGTAGTCATTGTAGAGGGGGATGAGCGCATGCTCAAGGATTGTCATGTACTGGACAGCAGTAAGATTGCCCTCAATGAGCACAAGCTCACTGACACCACGTGGTCCAATCGCACCCCACACGTTGATCTTGAAGTTGAATTTGCCATGGCGTTCTTCAACCTGAACCTGGTGTATGTCCATGGCACCCTCCCCGCGGCGGCGACGGCACCAGCAACGACCATCAGATGAACCAAGCATCATCTTGGTCTTGTCACTGATGATCATCACTCCTGCATCAAACACATCCTGGTCGGTCCACGCCTTGAAGGTGTTGTACATGTTCTCGCGCTGCATGAGGTGTCGTGGGGTAAGAGGGAGCTTCTGTTGTTGGGCGTAGCCACAGAAGCCACCACGCGAGAGCGCGTTCCGGACCTGAGAGGTGTCAGAAGATGCAAAAGGAGAGTGACTGTGACGCACCGTTGATAGGCTGGCTACCAGACGCGCTCTGCACCAACTCTGTAAGGGCGTATTTTTGCGCTTTTACAGAGTTTACTCTCGAACCACTCGGTGTATCGTGTCGCGGTTGACAGTGTTGCGCTCAGTAGGACTTAAGGGTCTACTGCCCAGTCGACGACTGTGGATAGTGTCGACGATAGCAAGGCAGTCAGACCACTACTGTGGAACTGGTCTTATGAGTCTATACCAGGCTCAGGGCCATTAGTGACGAACACTTGGACCGCGACCATTCCCCAAAAAGGGATCTGTCGTTGCGTCGACTTCTCGAAAAGGGTCATTCTCTGCAGATGGGAACTTGGGCTGAAGGGCTGAGCAATGCGCGACGTTCTCAATAATAGAACTACTACTGGACAGGACTTGGCGTTACGAGACTTAAACCATCTTGTCGCGGCAACTCCCGGTTCTGAGTTGGACGTTTCCTCAGATCATGCCACGACAACGACTTGTCACATGTCAGGATCCATTCGATCACGGGACATTGTGGACGCGTTGCAGTGACACTTCCAAGTGTCACGGCGAGTCGCGTCCATACCCAAACACACTAGAAATCGACACGGCTAGATCCGTGAGCCGAACCATGTGGGGGACGACTGGCGTGCCTAGGGCCATACGGCTTCTTGGGGCGCCCACGTTGGTCTCACTTGCCAAGACATACCCGTTGGCCAATCCAACACGTCGTATTCCAAAAGTATGACGCGGCGAGTTGGCCCACATCAAAAGTATCATATGGACAATGGGGCGGGGTCCTGATCACTCAGGACCTGTCCGATCGTCCAACTTTTCAATTACTCTAAAAGGAAACTGATCTTAGATAGCGTAGCTACTATGCAGTTGTACAGGACTTTACTAAGCATCGTCGTAGACAGTATAAGTAGCACGACGTTTCTTTGTATTAGGAAGCTTTCCCCCGGACTGTGAATCACTCTCATTTCAGATTGTTTTGTACAATTTGCGTGTCGCGTGATTCCACCCTAAGAAGTTCTGCCATCCCTGCCCGGTCGCGACGAGTTGCTCCCTGAGCACTTGTAGCTACTGTGATTTGAGTTTGAGTTGAGATATCAGAAAGTCGGATTCGCCGCATCTGGTATTGTCGCGGCATTTAGTGTCGTCGCCTTAGGGCTTTGTTGAGATCGTTCCACACCTCTAGCTTGGCAGTGCGTCAACTAGTTGTGCTCGGGTTGTTTTGGTCAGTTGGCAGTGCGTCGACTTGAGAACTTTGGTTCCACACTTCTTGCTTGGCAGTGCGTCGACAAGTTGTGCTCGGGTTTTGGACATTGGATATTGGCTGTTAGTTGGCAGTGCGTCGACGCGGCATTTTGGTTTACTAGTTGGCAGTGCGTCGACTCAGTACTTTTGGTTGTGTCAGTTGGCAGTGCGTCGACTCGACATTTTGGTTTACTAGTTGGCAGTGCGTCGACTCAGTATATTGGTTGTATCGGTTGGCAGTGCGTCGACTTGATATTTGGGCTTTGCGTCACCATCTAGACGCTGTCGCTACAAGGGATCTTAATACTTCGTATTAAGCTCTGACTTGTTATATTGTTGGTTGTGGATTGGATTAGTGTTGGTTGTGTTCGTATAGGAGATATTGGTTGAGATACCATTGTTTGCTATATATAAATTCTTGTCGTCGACTTCGTCTCCGCGACTATTGGATCTGCGTCTATTGAGAGTTGTGATACTGGTGCTCTGTCCACCCCGAAGCCCTCGCATCTTTCACACACTGAGAAGCTGATTACGAGGAGTGTGAACGTGTTTATATTTGGGTTTACTTTCATAGTAGATTCACTTGTGAGCACGCCCTCAGCATTTCACCGTATGCACAGGAAGTGTAGGCCACAGCAAGCGTCACACTTGCTCACCATCCACCAGCTCCCTGTTATCCAGCCGTCCTCCCGCTTCCTCAAGCTGTTCGTCGGACACAGCCTTCTTCCTCCCACATGCACCCTTCTTGCCGTTGTAGTAAAAGTTACCAGAGTGCTCGGCAACTCTCTTCATGCTCTTGGCAAGAGCACGCGGCTTGATTGTTGACTGGCAAAAAGGTGTCTGTGTGCAAATGCTGGCAAAGGACATGCCACAACAATTGTGCATGACAGACGCCATAGCCAGCTTGGTCGGAGTGACGAACAAATAGGTGCGTTTGGTGCGTGGTGTGGTGGGAGGAGAGGGCATGGCAAGGAGGGAGGGAAACAGGGAGCCTGGTTAGCGCTTGCTGTGTGTACACAGGCTTTAAATACTCACCAGGATTTAACAACGTGTCCCATAACATCAACAGCGCAACCGGTCACTTCAACAACCTGGTCTGACATTCAACAAACACCGCGCTGTACATGCTAGAATACGAGCGTGGTAAAGCAATGTGATCTACTGATGCAATGCTAGAAGAAATCGAGAACGGGGACAAGGACAACGAGTTCCTCAAGGAGATTGCTGAGAAGCTGTGCGAGAAGGGTTTTTGAAGCGCTCCACTCCTCTAGCCAAGGAGGTGGAGCATCCGGACTATGGACGTTTTTCTATACTTGTTTCTATTAAAGATACGGACAATACTTCACCTACATACACGATCTCCGACTTGCTACGTACAAATATTCATGATTTTCTGATTGCTGATATGGAAAAGGAACGCCAAAGAAAAATAGCTTTAAATAGAGAGTATTTACAGAGTAAAAAGGATCAGAAAGCTACAGATAAATTAATTTTGGACTCCTACGTATTTATGGCTCGTGGAGAAGGAACCAGGTCAACAAAGACCGAAAAGGGGAGCATCGCGCCCGAGGCTCAATCCTTGGAAAAGGAGGAAGCGCCTAAGGAATCTGCCGAAATCAAGGTTCCAGAAGCACCCAAGCACACCAGGGTGCCAGATGCCGTCCAGAGGAAATTGGCAGCCAAGAAACAGAAGGGCCCTCAACCCAGCAGGTTGGCGCAGGAATTATGCACTTACCAGGCCGAAAGAAAGAGGCATTCGATGGACGTATATGTCCAGATCACGGGTCTGGACTCAGGAAAAACACGCGGAGTCAAGGCGCTGCTTGATAGTGGCTGCAGTACCTGCTGCATCGATACCGACTATGCACGATCAGAGAAACTGGATATCCAAGAACTCCCGCAACCCATTGTAGCCCGTAATGCTGACAACACCAAAAACATCAGTGGTCAGATCACGCATTACGTTGACTTAAGGATGAGAATCGGCCCTCATGTGGAGACATGCATGTTCCTTCTGATGTGTCTAGGGAAAGCTTGGATCTTCATTGGTCTTGACTGGCTGACGGAAGATAACCCCGAGGTGGATTGGCAGGAGCAGACCATGAGATTCAGTCGATGCCCAGAGCGCTGTCACATGAGGGGTCACGAGGAGCACCAAGCAATGATCGACATGGACGCAATTAACCTGGACGCGGACGTGTCAGGGGACGCCCCGCTCCTTGGGCACGTGACCATGCACGTGACCCACTGCACCCTCTCTGCCGACCCGTGCCTGCTCACCTGTCGATCACCCAGCCTCCTCCTCCTCCTCCGATCCTCATCTCCATCCATGCCGACATCCGCCCTCTCCCTTCTTCCCCCGGCCATCTCCCTCGAATCCCCGCAAGCGGTCTAGCCAAGCCCGATTCCTTGCACCAGGGAGTGCTACTGCCGTATGCACTCCTCCCCGCGGATGTGGTCTACTGCCGTACAGGCTCGTACCAGATGCCCTTGCGCTCATCCGCACCACCCCTCTTCCCAGTTGGGCATTGGTCCTCGCCTCCAATGTCTCCACTGGCCGGCCCGGCACTGGCCTGGCCGCTGGGCTCCTCCAGTGTGGCCTTCCACTGTTGGTGTCTCAGGAGCTGGCCATCACTGGCCCCTCTGAGCCACTCACTATCTTATCTGGGTTTGTCATTATCTACTTGTCATCTGCCATTGTTCCATGGCAGTGATATCCCATCATCATCAGTCACTTGTCACAGCTGACTATATAGTGTGACACCTGGGCACATGGATCCTTGAACCGTTCTCTAAGGATCCCCCTCTGTGCTCAGGTGAGTAGTATACCTCCCTTGTATTTGATAGTCTCTAAGGATCCCCCTCTGTGCTCAGACTCATGTGAGGTTGTTGTGTGCTGTGTGCTCTCTTCCTTCGGGCTGGCAGGAGTTGCCCTTACAGATTGGGATTTATTGATTTTGTTTAGGTCTTTGTGTGACATTAAGGTGTTGCAACTGCTCAGATCCCGTCTTGGATTCAAGAGAGATTTTTGGTTTGGTGTTCTGTCACCATGGAATCCCTTGCACTTTCATACATCTGAAAAGCTAATTAGAGGAGTGTGATGTGTTTTGTGGCTGAATTGATTCCCTTGTTGATTCAGTCGTGGGACACACCCTGTCATGATTCAATCATTTTTCACAATCATTCCATCGATCACCTTATCTTATCATTGACATGGGACTATCTTATCATGGATCACGGCACCACACGGTCCAGGTTTAGGGTTCAAGAGGGTTATCTGCACAAGAGGTTGCGCGGCGTTGATAGGCTGGCTACCAGACGCGCTCTGCACCAACTCTGTAAGGGCGTATTTTTGCGCTTTTACAGAGTTTACTCTTGAACCACTCGGTGTATCGTGTCGCGGTTGACAGTGTTGCGCTCAGTAGGACTTAAGGGTCTACTGCCCAGTCGACGACTGTGGATAGTGTCGACGATAGCAAGGCAGTCAGATCACTACTGTGGAATTGGTCTTATGAGTCTACACCAGGCTCAGGGCCATTAGTGACGAACGCTTGGACCGCGACCATTCCCCCAAAAAGGGATCTGTCGTTGCGTCGACTTCTCGAAAAGGGTCATTCTCTGCAGATGGGAACTTGGGCTGAAGGGCTGAGCAATGCGCGACGTTCTCAATAATAGAACTACTACTGGACAGGACTTGGCGTTACGAGACTTAAACCATCTTGTCGCGGCAACTCCCGGTTCTGAGTTGGACGTTTCCTCAGATCATGCCACGATGACGACTTGTCACATGTCAGGATCCATTCGATCACGGGACATTGAGGACGCGTCGCGGTGACACTCCCAAGTGCCACGGCGATTCGCGTCAACACCCAAACACACTAGAAATCGACACGGCTAGATCCGTGAGCCGAACCATGTGGGGGACAACTGGCGTGCCTAGGGCCATACGGCTTCTTGGGGCGCCCACGTTGGTCTCACATGCCAAGACATACCCGTTGGCCAATCCAGCACGTCGTATTCCAAAAGTATGACGCGGCGAGTTGGCCCACATCAAAAGTATCATATGGACAATGGGGCGGGGTCCTGATCACTCAGGACCTGTCCGATCGTCCAACTTTTCAATTACTCTAAAAGGAAACTGATCTTAGATAGCGTAGCTACTATGCAGTTGTACAGGACTTTACTAAGCATCGTCGTAGACAGTATAAGTAGCACGACGTTTCTTTGTATTAGGAAGCTTTCCCCCGGACTGTGAATCACTCTCATTTCAGATTGTTTTGTACAATTTGCGTGTCGCGTGATTCCACCCTAAGAAGTTCTGCCATCCCTGCCCGGTCGCGACGAGTTGCTCCCTGAGCACTTGTAGCTACTGTGATTTGAGTTTGAGTTGAGATATCAGAAAGTCGGATTCGCCGCATCTGGTATTGTCGCGGCATTTAGTGTCGTCGCCTTAGGGCTTTGTTGAGATCGTTCCACACCTCTAGCTTGGCAGTGCGTCGACTAGTTGTGCTTGGGTTGTTTTGGACAGTTGGCAGTGCGTCGACTTGAGAACTTTGGTTCCACACTTCTTGCTTGGCAGTGCGTCGACAAGTTGTGCTCGGGTTTTGGACATTGGATATTGGCTGTTAGTTGGCAGTGCGTCGACGCGGCATTTTGGTTTACTAGTTGGCAGTGCGTCGACTCAGTACTTTTGGTTGTGTCAGTTGGCAGTGCGTCGACTCGACATTTTGGTTTACTAGTTGGCAGTGCGTCGACTCAGTATATTGGTTGTATCGGTTGGCAGTGCGTCGACTTGATATTTGGGCTTTGCGTCACCATCTAGACGCTGTCGCTACAAGGGATCTTAATACTTCGTATTAAGCTCTGACTTGTTATATTGTTGGTTGTGGATTGGATTAGTGTTGGTTGTGTTCGTATAGGAGATATTGGTTGAGATACCATTGTTTGCTATATATAAATTCTTGTCGTCGACTTCGTCTCCGCGACTATTGGATCTGCGTCTATTGAGAGTTGTGATACTGGTGCTCTGTCCACCCCGAAGCCCTCGCATCTTTCACACACTGAGAAGCTGATTACGAGGAGTGTGAACGTGTTTATATTTGGGTTTACTTTCATAGTAGATTCACTTGTGAGCACGCCCTCAGCATTTCATCTGGAGCCCACCGCGAGGGGCTTCTAAAGTTTCATAAACTTTAAAAATCAATAAACCGGATTCTTTACCGCGACGTCGGATAGAGACCAAGGGTTTATCCCGCGAAGCAGTTTATTTCGATCCCAAGCTCCTGCGCGACCTCTTGAGGACCAAGCGGAGATTGAGACTGAAGGAAACGCTTCAACTTCAGGACCTTTCGAAAAACCACGAAGGTCTGCAAGACATAAAACACCTTTGTATCTACCACCCTTGCCTTCTAGGGCAAAAGGAAAACAAAGAGTGAATTCGTCGTCGAAGCTTCCAGCTTTAGACGCGGCTACTTCGAGTTCGGCGACAATCAGTCGATCTCAGACTAGCTCACAAACCCTCTCAGAATTGTCTAGTAGCGTCACCGCTACAAACACGAATTCTAACAACATCCCTACTTCCCCTGTGACTTCAGTCGCGACAACTATGGCTCCAAAGACTGGGTTCAAAATCCCTCAACCTTGGGACACAAGTAGACCTATACTTGATGAAAAGGATCCCCTGTCGATTGAGGCATATTTGCGTCACTGCGCGCAGATCGTGGAGGATGGTGGCATCACAGATGTCAAACAGGCAAAAAGCATGTACATCCGTTATTTGCCGTCGCGGCAAGTGATGGACGTATGGGAAGGTCTCGATACCTAGGCCGACGACACGAAAACTGTCGCAGAGTTCGAGGCCGAAATATTAAAAGGATACCCTGAGGTATCCAAGCGAAAAACGGGGACCATGGCAGATCTAGATAGACTCTGTCGCGAGAACCGTGGAATCAAAATCACGGATGAGGGAGATTTGAAGCGCTTCGGCCTTCAGATGTACAGTCACTACAAGCGACTGTCAGTCCCTCCTGCCATTATTACCAACAAAGTCGCGTGTGAACGCTACATGCGTACTTTGGGCTCTGAGTTCAGTACCGTCTTGAGGAACGCTTTGGCTACGAGTCAAGTATTCAATAAGCGCTACCAAACTCGCGCTGGGATAGCAAATGCTAATGTCCCCGCGACTGGAGTCAACCGGCAGGACGACCCCATCCAGCTGAAAGAGCTAATGACAATGGCGGAAGAAATGGCGTCGACGTTGAGTAACGAAGACGAAATTCCCATAATCGCGCGGCCTCCTAAGGTTCGCTTCGACTATGAGACTAGTCCACCCAACCATGCTAAGGTTGAGGAGTTGGAAAACTCGATTTCCAACTTGAAGGACTCATTTCTTCTACACCAAAAAGAGCTACAGACTCAGTTGCAGGAAGCGCTGAAGACGTTCGTACAGACTGCTCGCGAAGCGCCCATACAGCGGTCGCGGCCAGTAGGCAACAACTCTTCTGTGCCCCACTTTGAAAGTCGCGCACAAGGAGGAGCTGCCGCACGGAACGACGATTGTCGCTACTGTGGACAAACTGGTCATTGGTCGAACGAGTGCCCGCTCAAGAGGTCTCACATTGAGAAAAACCTTCTCAAAGTCGACACCAAAGGGATGTGGAGGCTCTTCGACGACAGTTTCCTACCAAATGGAGAAGGGACTCAGGGACAACGAGTAGAGGCTTACTGGAAGAAGAAGGGCAAATCCGTCAACTTCCAGGACTCCTACTACTTGGATCAGTTCGATAGTCGCGACAATGATGATATGTCCGACTACCCTGAAGAAGTGGCAGATGAGATACGCTCCCTTCGTAGTCAACTCATCCAATATGAGAGGAAGTCGTCGCGGCCAACTCCAGAGAGTCGCGCTGAGCCGAAGACTCAAAGAGCTGCATCTGGTTCAACCAGTAATGCAATGGAAAGCGCCATGGGCCAGTTCATGCAGAAAGCCATGACCGACGCCATGGCCGGCTACTTCAACAACATGAACAGTGGTTATCCTCAGACTCAGGAGCAGTTCATTCAAACCCGTCGTGGTGCGAATAGCCAACCTGAGCGCGACGATAACAACTCGGGTTTCTAAATGGTTCAAGGAAGGGGGCTAAACCCACAAACTCAGCCAAGCCCTCTGAGGACCATGATAAACGAGCTGAGCGACGAGAGAAACCGAGAAAACCTGTGACTATTGAAGAAGTTAGCGATAGCGACAATGATGAGGAATCAGTGCGCGACAACGTCGAAAAGAGAAAGGAACTACCGTTTGAGAAAGTCAAGCCCGTTCTACAAGAACCAGTACGTTCTTCAAAAGCGCGCGTTCCAGATAAATACCAGTTGCGTGCACCGATTCAAAAGAAGGCTGTAGCAGAAGCAGTCTACGACAAAATGAAAAACGCGTCAGTCGACGTCACTGTGGGTGAACTCCTAGCAGTTTCGGGGACTGTCCGCGACTCCATTCTAAAGGACTCTTCGAAGAAACGAGTACCGGTTCAGAAGTCCATGCTTCAAGAAACTGGCCGCGTCGTTGAAGACGTCTGGGATGGAGAACTGAGCTACAACCTAGTCAGTGCTAAGGAATTGCCCGAGCCTGTGTTCTATCATAACACAGTTGAAGGAGAAATTCCCATTGGCGCAGTTGTCGCGACGGACCCATATGAGATGTACTTGGAGTCGATACCCT